CTGGACACAAAAGATTGACTTGGTTGAGCAGACTGTGGCAGAGGCACCACGATGCAGAAGGTATTGTCAGGCATCTGCCTCCAGGTGCAATGTTTCTGGCATGGTTTTGGCAAGTGCTGTCAAAGCAACATGTTGTTCCTTGTGTTGTTGACGCCCAGCCCTTGACACGAGGGGCACGCATTCTTGGTTCCAGGGTAATATGTTCAAGAGTGTGTTGAGCTTGGCAAGGTGATGTACGATTGCACACAGTGTTGTGGCAGTATCTCCCAGCAGCAAATACAGTGGAGCTCTGTGTAGTCAACAAGGCTACACATGCTCGAGATGGGGCACGATCCATCGGTCTTTGCATGCCTTGAAAAGCACTCTCGACCTCATTGACTTCTGCTCCAAGTGGTGAGGACCTTCATTGAAGATCTGTGTGCGTTGGGCAGATTTGGCAAATGGCTGACTACATCTACGATGACAGCTACTACAAAGAGAACACAGGCTGTGACAGATGACAGTGATGCCAGCAAACCGTGCACAAGTGCCTGCCAGGGCCAGGAGGCCGCAGGTAGCGATGTCCCTCAAGACTGCACTTGAGAATGGTGTGTACAGGCACCAAACATTCAATGCTGTCATGCATTGCACATCCGATTGAGGATGGCCAGGACAACTGCAATTGGGCACTGACAGCTGAGGGATGGCCAGGGTGCGGCACTGTGCAAAACTACTCAAAGGCATGCCTTGCAGTGCAGCTGCTCCCAGGGCGGTTGCACTGGTACAGCCAGCAAGGCGCAGTGCCCAGTTAGATAGGCAGTAGAAGGTAGGGTGAGTGTCGGAGCAAGCAGGGCAGCTCTAATCCCCAGAGCATTAGATCAGGAACCATTGATGTAGCTTGTGTGATGCTGTTGATCATGGCTTCAATTCCATGAAGGCTACTGGTGTCAGTGCTTGGCCGACGGTGTGCAGCTGTTCACAGAGCATCCGCAACTTAGTTGGGGCGCTGCTGCCATGAACATCCATCTGATACGATTCGGTACGCTTCGATACGATTCGATTCGATACGAATCTCTAAAGGGAATGGGTGGAAAGGATGTGTGCATCGTCTCACGTAGTGTCGCTCTCAACAGTTTTGGCATTGACGGGAGGCGAGGGACGAAATAAACGGATGATGGACAGAAAAACCAAGAAAGGAAGGCTCTGTTGGATGTATAAATACCTGTCATCGAATGCAAGGTGCAAGGGCCCTGCTTTGCCATTCGAAGGAGAAGTTAAACAAAGGAGTGTGCCTCACGGCAGCGTCCATGTCGCTTTTGGCAATGGGTGCCAAGGTATTGGCGAATTCGAATTTGAAGTAAGATGCAAGTCTCAAGGTCATCTGACCCGCAGGGACCTTTCGAAAATTGCACCGCCCACAGTGCTACCAACACTGAATTAGTCAAGGCAGCTGAACGCGACAACCAGGGCAAGTCGTGAAGTCCCAAAGGACGAAAAAGGACATTTGTGAACGCTCTAACGTGATGTCGATGGCATTGATGGGGTCCACGAGGCCGCACATGACTAAGCGAATTCAAAAATTCGAAAAAGTGTGCACGCCCAGGTTCGAACTGGGGACCTTCAGTGTGTGAGACTGACGTGATAACCAACTACACCACGCGCACTGCTGTGCCACATGGCTAAACTATACATTATTTAATTGTTTATAATTAGCCTGCATTTTTTACGAACATCCAGAATCACACCATTTTGGCACGAGCCACCTGGCTTTCAATGCGTTGTGAGTTCCCATTACGTAGCATGTCCCCCCCACCCAATCGTGCTGTCGATGCAGTCGGCTCCACCATGGTGAACCATGCAAGGGCAGGCGTGACACAGAGGTGCAAACAACGCCATGGCATTTGCGGCCTTGCGCTCCGTGCCCTCTGTGGGACACGCGACCTCGTCCTGGTGGTGCGGGCCCACCCCTTGGATTCGCATTTGCAGCGCCCGGCCCGCCCTCCAGCCACGTCCAGTAAACGTGGTACGAGTGGTACAATTGGTACACGCAGTGCATGCGGTACATGTTGTACATGGACTGCCGAAACGTACTTCAAATGCACGTCGATGAGTGCAGCGCATGCACGGGCACCATGAGGGAATGCATGCCAAAAAGTCAAGCAACCGTCGCATCAGGACTTCGGGGGCCAGCCAGCCAGGAAGCCCCTCCAGCAACCAGGCGGCTTGTCCGCGGCCAGGGACCAACCCGCGCAGTACAAATATGTGCATGCACACAATGTCCACGTGCGCACGCGGAGACCTGATGTAATACCCCATCGATGCCCTCCATCACGGGAGGTTTTGCCCACCAGAAACGGCGAGATCCGCGCCACCATAGTGCGTAGTACACAACACATACATGGTACATAGTACACAACGCACAGTACATAGCACCACACTGCGCCGCTCCAACAACACAGCTGGCAGCGCGGGAAGCAGCAAAGCCCCTCGCTCACGAGGCGACTTGATGTAATACACCCCATTGATTCCCTCCATCGCTCCATCGGGTGAAGTTTAACCGCCCGCAACACGCGATGTGCGCGAGACCCGCGACGGCAACCTGGCTGACTGTGCCCGAGGTGACGGGAGGTAACGGGAGGCCAGGCGGCACCTGCGTCCGCCACGGTGCCAGCCGCCCGACCAGTCAACCCGGCCGGCACCAGCGCCGAAGGTACTCGGACGCATCGTGGGCGAATATTCCCCAGCCCCGCCACCCGACTCCCGCCCTCCCGGGCCCGCCATCAGCCCGCCCCAGCGCCCCGGGGCCAGTCCAGGGTCGCTGGCGCGGGCGGTGTGCTCGGTCGCCATGCCCTCCCAGCCGGCGCCGCAGGGCGCCGAGTCCTGCCGCAGCGAAGGCGAGAAGGCGTTTCTCAAGTCGCCCAGCATGCGCCGCGTGCTGTCCGTGCGGGACTACATCAGGACCTGGCCGCTCAAGCCGGAGGCGAAACTGATGTACGAGTGCTTCGCCGAGTTTTGGGGTACCATGATGATCGCCGTGTTCGGGGTGGGGTCCGTGAACACGGCCATAGCGGTGGGGGCGCACTCCGACCTGTGGCACGTGGCCATGATTTGGGGCTTCGGCGTGTCGCTGGCGATTTACTGCACGGCGAGCGTGTCCGGGGCGCACCTCAACCCGGCGGTGTCCCTGGCATTCGCCATGTTCCGGGGCTCCCAGTTCCCCTGGTCCAAACTGGGGTGGTACTGGCTGGCGCAGATGGCCGGGGGGGTGGCCGGTGGGGCGATGAACTTCCTCATCTTCTTCCCCTACATAGGGCGCCAGGAGCGCCTGGAGCGGTTGGAGGATCCCGGTTTCAGTCGCGGCGGCGGCGGCAGCGAGATCAGCGCCATGGTGTTTGGGGAATACTATCCGGCGCCGGACTGGGTGAGGGGCAACGAGCTGGAGGGCGAGGACGCCAGCAAGCTGGTCAGCACGCTGGGGGCGCTGTGCGTCGAGGCCTGGGGCACCGGGATCCTGATGTTCGTGATCATGGCCCTCACGGACGACAAGCAGAAGGTGCTAATCCACAAGGAGATGGTGCCGTTCATGATCGGCTTCACGGTGGCCGTGCTGATCGGCTGCTACGCGCCGCTCACGCAGGCGGGATGGAACCCGGCGAGGGACTTCGGCCCGAGGCTGGTGGCGGCGATGGCGGGCTGGGGAAAGATAGCCATACCCGGCCCGAGGAACGGTTTCTGGGTCTACATCCTGGGCCCCATGCTGGGCGCCCCCCTGGGCGCTTTCGCCTACGTTATGACGATCGAGCCGGGGTTGAGAATGGCCCAGTGAGTGGCGCCGAGGGTTTGTTCCCCCGAGGAACCGTTCGAGCATGGAAGGCTTTTCAGCACGAGTTCGCGCGAAGGAGCGGCCGAGCGCCGCATCACCCGGCCAGAGGCTTTGGCTGGGTGGAGAAACCCGGGTGCCGAAGCTCCCAGCCAGAGATTTGGTCGGGTGGGTCGGAGAGAGGGCCCTGGCGCTCTGTGGGGGGGGGGATAACATGGTAGAGGAGTGACTTAGGGGTCGGGGAGGAGGGCGGCTGGACCGAGGTCGGCTCGCGAATTCGAGAGCCTCGGGCGGAATTCGACACGCGAAGGCCTTGGGGGGCATCTAGGAGGCCATCCGGCCGGACGGTCCCCGAGGGAAGCATTGAGAAGACCGCGCCTGCAAGCTCCCGTCGCGAGGGATTGTGTGGGCGGCGGGATGGACCGGATGCTGGGAGGGGTGGGGAAGGAACGTTTCGATTTTTGACTCCGCTGGGCGACGACCCTTCGAGGGTTGCTCCCCTGTGAGTTTTGGGCCCGCTCGGCCGGGCGCGTCCCGCGAAATTGGGCCTTTCTGCCATCCCAGCGCCATCCGTCGCCCTGATTTCCTCCGTGGAAGAGTACGGTCCCGATTGCACTAGAAGAAGAAACAGGTGTGCGGTGCCTGTCAGGACGTTCGCGATGTTTTAGGCGCCCACGGCCCGTTGCGAGGCTCCAACGGGCCGGTGGCCAGCCGAGCGCTGGCCAGACGGTGGTGTTGCTTGTGGACGACCCGCTCGCCATTTTTCAGTGTGTGTGTTCAACGTATGAGGGGGCTTTTGACATTTCATTCACACCGTTGGGGCAACACGTGAGAGGAAGGGGTGCTGGTTTTCTGTCCCTGTTGATTTCCAACGCGCGCCATTGAGGACCGCAGTTTTGGAACGGTGGCGCTTGTCCATCTCAATTGCTTGCAATGTGGCGTCGCTTTTGTGGGAACCAGGGTACCTGTCTCTTTGAAATCGCAACGTCTCTTCCATCGTTTGCCACGGACTCCTGCTTGCATCCGCAGGAATGACAATTGGAACTGTACATGGCCTCCAAATCATTCCAATCCGTTTGCCCTGTTTTTCAAGCGGAAGGGAATTGTCATTGTGTCCATGCATTCGTTTGCCGCGGATTCCTGCTTGCATCCACAGGAATGACAATTGGAACTGCACATGGCCTCCAAATCATTCCAATCCGTTTGCCCTGTTTTTCAAGCGGAAGGGAATTGTCATTGTGTCCATGCATCGGCCGTCCTTGAGCCCATCACATCGTATCCACGTGTTGGTGTATACCCTTCGATTCAAGTTGTGCCAAAAGCGACAAAGCACAGCACTTACGCCTGGACGCCGATGTGGAGCATGAACCGGGCACAGACTGCACACAGTGTATAGTTCAGTGTGTTCGGGGTTCATGTCCTTCACCGCACACAGACTGTACAAGATACAACTTTTCGTGACACCACGATCCAAAGCAGGTGTGCGCGATGGTTAAGGGTCCTGCGCCCAACATGGACGAAATTCCCTGTCCTAATTGCACTAGACCGCTCAGCAGCAAACCCACCCGCGCCCACACAAGTCGGACTCCTTGCGCATTGTGGGGTCGTCTGCGGAACATGGAGATGACGCCCTGCATGGCAACAAAAAACCATTCCCATGCTGTGATTGATCTCTTTCCTGTTTCCAGAGGGACATTGCGTGGGAGCTGCGGGGTGGTCCAGGATGAAATGAAACAAAAGTGAGCAATCGACAAACAGTGTGCTTCGAGTTCGGCCCGGCATCGCATTTTAAGTTGCGAGGGGTGGGATCTGTCCCGTCCTTGTGACTAATGTGGCGGTAACGCCTGAGGCCCGCGGGGCATCTTTGGGAAATGATACTTGATCGATTTCGCCCATCGCCACCTTGGGGCAGATTGGCACATGCCAAAGGGGAATAGGCGTCAAGGATATGACTCCACTTTGCAAATCGCGGGCAATTCGGGCACAGAAATCTGGACACAGACGGCCCACGCCCCTTGGGCACTCAGGCGCACACAAATCCTGGGCATTCTGGGCAAAGCCACTGACATAAACTGCACAGATTCGCACATATCCCCATGCAACTCGAGTGGTGAGAATGCGCTGGATGTCTGCCAAATCCGAGCTTTCGAGACCCCAAACCACCGGCGCTGAAGCGAAACTGGTTATGTTACACGCCGCGACCTGTGTGCAGAGGTCACCCCCACAAAGAACATCAACGAGGTGCTAACAGCTTCACAAACGATTGCTTGATCGGCTGCACCCCCTTCGGAACTGGGTCACACAGCCCTGCACCCACGCACATGTCGCAGCAGCCATCCAAAATAGCTCCCTCTAACCTCTTGCATCTCCGCACAATAGATCTACTTTGATCCAGAAAATGGCCCTTCAATTCTGGGGGTTGATATCAGATTCCCTCCCAGCCCGTCCAATCCGCAAATGGGTGTCCCAATTGGCAAGCTCTTGCCAGGTTCTTACCTACCCCTCATGCAAAGTTGCGTCACCCCTTGCAAAACATGCGGCCAATCCTACACAAGGAAATATGTCGCCGTAGCCCTCTGCGCTCCTTTGCGTCAAGTTCAATGACAAAACTACCACGCTCAAATTTGAGTGTGGTCGCCGTTCAAACAGCTGCCATCATGATGGTTTCAAGTGACATGATGTCACGCACCTGGTGCAACGCCCCAAGAAAGCAACATAAATCACGTCAAACGTGAGAGATGTAGAATCGGCGTGGCATCACGTGTCCACGTGGCGACCCTGAGTTGTCTCCGGGGCCCGGACCCGGGGTCCGGATCGTTTGTCTTTGAAGCGCTTGCCGAATCAGATTCTTTGATCACAACAGTAGTTGTGGAGTCAGGCGCACAACATGTGTACATCCTGGCTCTTTTTCTGATCTGTGAGCTAAGACATCAAGTTTGGGTTGTATATTGAGTTCAGAGTGTGCCCACAGCTCCGCGCATACCGCCGGTTAGGCGCAAGAAACAAATCGTCATGGAGTTGTCGATTATCCTCTGAAGTCAATGGCAAGATCCACAATGATGTGCTTCGTCCGCCACGCCATGTTTGGGCCCCCGTGGTTCCAGGCGGCCGCACATTAGCGACCATGCCCACTGCTCCAAGTTACCCAAGCGGGTCTCCTGAGCAGGTCACATTGCAATGCTGTGCAACGCAATCGCGCCCTTGCGTTGCTTTCCTTGCTCGATCTGTGGGCCGGCAGGTCAAGAGGCCATCCTAATGCATTGTGCGTGTTGACAGTGGGCAGCTCCTCTGAAATGAGCATGTGCATGTCAGGAATGGTGCACAGTGCACGCGTACTGGCATTCTGTGCCTCGCATCAATTGGGCACACTGACTTACTTTCCTCCTCATAATATTTTCTTTCGAAACGAACAGCTCGTCATTTTGAACCCTTTATGGTGGACTTTGCCGCCTGTCCACCGAATTGACTGCACGGGGCGTCAGCTTATGTGTGTATGATAATCACCTAAACTTTGAATATGAGCTCCCCGAACACCAATGCAATTACAAACGATTGTTCGATCCGCTGCACTGCCTGCAGAGCTGGACTGCGCAGCCTTGCGCCGTCAAATCTATTTTGATCCATAAGAAGTCCAATCAATTCCGTGTGTTCGCATCAGATTGCCTCCCAGCCCATTCTATCCACAAATGGCTGTCCCAATTTATAAGCTGTTACCAGGTTCGTGCATAACCTTGATACAAGGACTACATCGTCCTTGCACAATGTGGGTCTGAACCCACTGAGATAACTATGTCACTGTGGCCTTCCCCCATTTTCCTCCACTGAGTTGAATGAAAAACTGCCGCAGTCAAACAGCTGCCATAATAGCGATTCAAATGACATGATGCCACTCACCCGGTGTATCCATGACATTTCTCTCTATATCAGCACATGGGAAACGGATACCAACTTTGTCGTCCTTTCGCTTAGTTCGGCCGTCAAGTGCCATTAAAGGCAAAACAACAGCATCTAATAACAATAAAATAAAATAGAATGCACATGAGTGTCTAGGCAGCCACCCTGAGCTGTTCTGAGGTCATTTAGCTTTGAACCCCTTGCCAAATCAGACGCGTTTGCTCGCAAAATCGTTTTGGAGTCGAACGCACAATCTGTTGACAACCTTGCTCTCGTTTTCATTGGCAAACAAAGATATCAATTCCTGGGTCGTATGTTGAATTCAGCGCATGCCCACAGCTGCATGCATATGTGCTGGTTAGGCGCAATACGCAAATGGTCAATGATGATGCTGGCTTTCCTCTACTGTCGATGGCAATGTACACAATGTTGCCCTCCCGTCTGCCATGACTTCCTCAGGCCAAATGGTTCCGTGTGGCCAGTCCTACGCGATCATGCTCATTGCTCTGATCATCCAAGCGGATTTCCTGATGAGGTCGCATTGCAATGTTGAGCCACGCACTTGCAAACCTGCGTAGCTTTTCTTGGTCGATGCGTGGTTATGCAGGTCAAGTGGTCACCCCTAATGCATTGCGCTTTTGGCAGCGCCCATCCCCCCTGACATGAGCATACTGCACGTAAAGGGCGGTGCACAGGGCACGCGTATTGTCATTATTTTCCTTTCATAAATTGGGCGCTGACATGGCCTCCTTTTCCTTGTAATTTCTTCGCAACGTACCCATAGCGATGGTGAGCCATTGATGGAGGATATCTGCAGCCTATTCAGTGAATTCTGGACTACACAGGAAGTTAGCTCATGCGCTCATAAACATCCAATTTCTTAATGTAAGATTCAGATGGCGACTCGAACGCCAGTGCAAACAAAGACCTCAGACCTGTTTGTGCAAAGCAACTGCCGCCTGTGCTGGATTGGCAAACAAACACCAGTCACTCAACACGCGAACTGCTAGCATATACCTTCGTGCGCCTGTTCGTCAACTGACTGTCACTGGCGCTCGTGATCGTCAGTGCTCCATCGTGCTCACGACAGTCTCGTGCGCCTGCGCTCCACA